AGTAACTGGAAGATATCTGTATTCCGTCACTCCGCAAGGGGCTGCTTTTTACTCGGAGTTAAATATATGCATTGCATTCTAACCACTGAACCCAAGCCCTGGGCTAAGGTTGTATTGTGGTCCGGGCCCGGGCCAAACGGGCCTAAACGGGCTGGGCCAAACGGGTCTGGGCTTGAGGCGGGCCAGGTTGAGGCGGTCCCGGGCTTCACGGTCTCAATGTGTGGAACCAGCCTACGGTGGTCCTAAGCCCACATGGTCCCGGTCTAAATGGGCCGGGCCCGCGGGCCTAACGGGCTTTTTTCATTCCGGACTATTTTTTTAATTTTTTTTTATCTAAGGCACTTTCTTGTAAACTATATATGTATATACTAGTATAAATTGCTTATATATAGTTATATAAATATATATAGTATATATAGTATATATAGTATATATAGTATATATAGTATATATAGTATATATAGTATATATAGTATATATAGTATATATAGTATATATAGTATATATAGTATATATAGTATATATAGTATATATAGTATATATAGTATATATAGTATATATAGTATATATAGTATATATAGTATATATAGTATATATATAAGGGTGTATTATGTGTATATATAATTATATATTGCCTTATGTAATATATATTGTCTTATATATATGTATGTATATAAACTATATATATAGTTTATAGTTTATATGTATTAGATATATATATAGTGCCTTATATATATATGTGTATGTATGTATATATATATATAGGCTATTTTTTTAAAATTTTGTTTATCTAAGGCACTTTCTTGTAAACTATACATGTATATACTAGTATAAATTGCTTATATATAGCTATATAAATATATATAGTAGGCGAAATACATAAGTTACCCCCTAAACTATGAACCAAATCCCTGTTACACACTTTCTGACCACGAAAATCATCTTACACACTCAACCTTTTCTGAGTGTGTCTAATACACACCTTTTTTTTCTTGACCAATTTTTCAAAATATGTGTAAATTCACGCACTAATAAAATTGTGACACGTGTTATTATTCTTTTAAAAATTAAAATATATAAAATTACAATTATACCCTTTACCATCTTCCCTCTTGCATCTCTTTCTCTTCGTCGGCGACAACAACCAGACCTCTGCCATCTAATTCAAACAAAAACTAGAAGCCCCAATCAAATGCTCCTAGCTTCTAATTTCTAAATATTTTCGAGATACAAATTCGAGTACCAAATATTGGAATCTTTTGCAAAAAATTTATTAAGATTTGATCCAAACACCAAAAACAATTAGTTGTACTAGAATATTGGTTCTTCTTAAGCAAACCTACAACCCTCTCCAATGATATATAATGGTAAGTGGGTTCCTTCATGGTTGCTTTCAACAGGTGTAAGGGGAAAAAGGAAGAGAAGAGAAAAAGTTGCTTCAATGGTGAAGGTATGGTGATTTTTCGACAGGTGAGTGTTGATTGATTTTAGGATGATGGAGAAGTTGTGGAGCATCAATGGTGGACGATGGAGAGGTCTGGATGGGCTCTCAACGGGCAGGTGGTGGATTAGTGTAGAAAAATAAAAAAGAAAGAAACTAAAAAAAAGGAAAGAAAGAAAGAAATTTTATTGTAATCGTTGGATAGATTTCACTAAATCTGAACCGTTTAAATAAAATATCAGACATATAATTTTTTAATGTTCAGATGCCTCATTTTGTTTGTAAACACGCGCTAGCCACATAGGCAAAGAGGTGTGTATTAGACACACTTTAAAAGGGTTGAGTGTGTAAGATGATTTTCGTGGTCAGAAAGTGTGTAACAAGGATTTGGTCCAAAGTTCAGGGGGGAACTTATGTATTTTGCCCATATAGTATATATAGTATGTATAATATGTATTGCCTTATATATGTGTGTGTGTGTGTGTGTGTGTATGTGTGTGTATATATATATATAGTTTATATGTATTAGATATATATATATATATATACTATATCAAATTTAAACACAAAATAAATTGCAAAGAAATATTCAAGTGAATGTCTTATATATTTTACTATTACGACATTAACAAAGAATGACAATATCTTTCTTAGTCTTCCTCCCCCCAATGGAATGAGCACAACAAGGTACTAATACCACCATTAAAAGGAAAAAAAACTAAGGAAGATGTGCTAAAATACAAGCTACATGTTAGTCTATGTATTATCTCTAACAAAACTCATAAATCCTTCAAGGTCCGGAGGAATTTCCGTTGGTGGTGGTGGAAAAAAAGCTTGCTCATCACCGCTTTCGGGCGAAGTAGCATCCTGCGCAAGTTCCGCTAACATTTCTTCATAAGCTTCATCTATCTCCGATTGTGATTCTGCAAGTCCAAAATTTCTTCTTTCCGAACGGATCCAATCTCTGAAGAGTACTGATTTTTTCAAACTCTCCCTCATAGACGCTCTATGATCACCGATTTGAAGTTTCGCTTGACTGAATGCGCTCTTCGATGCCACTTTTGATGCTTGAACACTTAAAATATCTCGAGTCATCCTTGAAAGAACCGGATAGTGTTTTTGTTTGTCCTTCCACCATTCCAAAACATCGAAGGAGCCGTCGTGATTCTTTGATTCAAGTCCCTGCGACAAATAAACTTGAAGCTCATTTAGTTGTGAACTATCACCAAAATTATCACCTTGAAACCCCTGAACTCCGTCCAAGAACTAAGGGCTTTTAGGCCCGCAGTTCTTTTAGATGCTTGCGAACTAGACAAAGTAAGAGTTGGAATATTTGGTCTAGCTTGAACTAAGGCAAGTTGATAAACATTATAAATTGTTTGAGCATTTATTTCAATTGAGGCTTTTGCATCTCCAAGTGTAGCAAATTCCTCAGCTGAAAGTGATAAAGCGTTATAAATTTTTGAATACCAAAAGTGAGGACCTCCTAATTTCATTGTAGGATTTAACAATGCAGCAACACCAAAAATAGGGGGGATAGGGAAAAAATATTTTTTAAACTTAGCTTTCATAGAATTAATAGCTTCTTGATAAATTACTCCACCCTCTGAAAATTGAGTAAATAAATCTACAAGTGCTGCAATATAAACTAAACAGTTAGAAATAGTAGGATAATATTGGCCAGATAATTCATTTGTAGCAATATGAAATTGTTCTAAAAAGTCTACAAGTATTTTAACATTACTCCAATCTTGATTTGTAAGGTGCTCATCATCATCATCATCACCATCACCTACACGAGCATTATACGTTGCGCTTATTGGGTTCCTATATTCATATGCAACAACTAAACATTCATATATGTAATTCCATCTAGTTGGACAAGGTTTAGGAACCTTTCTTTCTCTAAGGCTAAAGTCATCACATTTTTTAAAATAGTCTCTAAATCTACTTCTACGGTTTGAATAAAAAAACCGATTAAGAACCATTTTAATCTTTTCAATTTCTACATTTAAAACTTTCATACCAACACCGACGATTAAATGGTAAATATGACAAATACATCTAACATGAAAAATATTACTAAATGCAGGATTTAGTGTAGTTGTAAGCAAGCCTATAGCGTTAGTGTTACTAGAAACATTATCCATTGAAACCGACATAATTTTATCTCTAATGCAAAAATATCTACAAATTTCTGCAACTGTGTTAGCAATAAACTTACCTGTGCGGCGTGAATTAATTATTCTATAAGCAATAATGTGTTTTTGCATTATCCACACCTCATCTATCCAATGACTTGTAACAATTAGATAATCACAGTCATTACCACTTCTACCAATATCAGTAGTAATAGCAATGCGACAATCTATATGAGTAAATATAGCGCAAATATTGTTCATATTCATGTTTATATTTATAAATATCTCTCTTTACGGTTGCGCGAGGCCATCCTTTTGTCACGACCCATTTTCTGAACAAGCCGAGACCAGTACTCGATTACTAAACATGACCGAGCGAACCATCTCTGCTTATCAAATCTATTATAACACCATATTTTATATGCAACAAGGCAATACTCTAACCAAATACTTTTGATTAACTCAGATATTTCAATAAATCAACTCCAAAACTTTATTCGTAGTAACTACTGAATTACTGCTAAGTTATTATCAAAAACATCTGAATCTCAACCCAACGACTATGTCTATGAAACCTCTACTGATAAATTGACGCACTGCTCAGGACATAGATTTTCTGGCCAGTTCTCTAAGTAACAAAGAAATAACTAAATAAAGATGACTCTAAGGAACACTCCACGAATAAAAGCGGAGCTCACCAATAGCACTGGAGAAGAAAGAAGTCCTAACTCGTAGCCTTCTCTCCTGCAAATTCGGTTCCTACGTTGTACCGCAGACCAACGTAGGTTCCCGAAAGAGAACGTCAGTACCATCCATTGTACTCAGTGGGTTTCAACAACAGGGGGCGAAACTTTAATAACATATACATTATGAGTAAAGGTTTTAAATGCATGTAAAGAATAGAGCTTATAAGAATAATTCTAATTAATTGCATAATAGCAGTTTATGAATATTCTAAAGGAAATTTTTTTCTTTTTCTTTCTAAAAAAAAAATACTTCACTTTGTACTTTGGGAGTTCCAACTATCCTGACTTAATTCTATCTCAGTCACCGTGTGATCGACACGGATTCGATCCCAACCTGATCGAATAGGCCCAATCCACGAGGTGTCACTCGCTTCATGATTCTCAGCGCTCATGTATCATACCTTAGCATGGCTAAGTAATTTCTCAGCAACGAGGCCCTCGGCTCGTGTGCTCCCTACTTTGGCACAAGTAGTTTCAGGAAGTCAATGCCTTGGTCAGGACCCTAGGCCTGGACGATGACCCCTTCTCAGAATAAATGATACTCCCAAAAATCTTTTCTTTCTAAAACTTCTTCTTGTGATTTTTCAAGTCTAAATCTTTTATACATACTCATACTGGTATCCTTAAATGTAAGGCATGACATGAGAATGAAATAAACATTCAAAAGTATTTATAAAGGTTCTTGATCCTTCATGAATTTTCAACATGAAAATGGCATATAAGAATAACATAAAAATCTGAAATTTATGCACATATATCCAAAATAATCATCTAACCTTTAGCTAGAAAATAATTCTAAGCTAATAGGTACTTACTACTCCAATTAAGTATATATTAACTCTTTTATGCAATTCATCAAACACTTTGTGTGCGTGCTTTTGTGAGTTAAACCACTTTAGTAAAAGGGTTATATCAACTCAACTCAAAACTCCTTGAGCCAATACATAGAGCCCAGTCCAATTTATACCCGTCAAACAATTGATTCTACAACAACCAGTGCATTTTAATTAATTTTAAAGTACTACATTTAAATATGAAATTTATTGTTGATATAGAGAAAGAAGTGAATTAACTATTCAATTCTTACCTACTACTACTGTAAGGTAATTGACAATAGGGAATTTATATACCTGAGTTAAAGAATTCGTAATTTGTAAAGAACCCTAGAATTTTTTTTTGTTGCTGCCTGCGTGCCTTGCGTTCGCTGCTGAACGGAACAACGTTTTGATTCTTTTTCCCGTATAAGAATTGCGTGAATGAATAAAAGTTTAAATCTTCTGCTTTTTTTTCGTATAAGGGTCCTCACCCTCCAGGCCTTTTAAATCTTGACTTGATTAAGGTTTTTTAAGCCTTTNTTTTTTTTTTTTTTTTTTTTTTTTTTTTTTTTTTTTTTTTTTTTGTATAAGGCTTTAAGCCTTTGTTTACAATAGCCACTTTATGGGCTTTAGGTTAATCCTTTTTTTAAAAAAACTTAACTAATAATTAATGATATCCACTTTTAATAATTAATAATATTAAAACTATTATACTTTTTCTAATTGTATATCCACTTATATATATATATATATAGGTAAGATAAAAATAATAAAAAAATAGTAATAATCTAGTTCTATAGTTAGCGTGTCTCGAAACTTTTATAAGTTTGAGGAGTGTTACACCTTTATAAGTAGGATTAAAAACTCTTCTACTATAATGCACAAAATGAGGGTTAGAAGGAAAACTATAGGGTAAGCACATAACAGTAACCATTTTTGCCAATTCTTCACGATCTTTATTTGGATCATAATATAAAATGCCACCGGTAACAGTGTTAATTCCCGGTTGAACTAGATTTGAACCTGTACTAGGATTAACCGTAGTATCTACACTTGTCCCATCTTGCGCAGCTTTCATTTGTAAAAATCTAGCTTTATCTCTAGGGTGTTTCAATATGTGTCTA